TCGATGTCTAAACACTTGTATGAACATCTATTCTCAAAACTCATATTGTCGTTGGAAGAAGGGAAATATGAAATATTTCTGCAGTCAAATATGCCGGTAGTATATAAGGTAATGATTTGAATGTTCATCTTAATTGGACAAAAACGTAATGGCAACATGCTTAATGCAGGTATTCTACAAGTAACATAATATATTGTAGGCCCAAAAATGTCTAAAATTAAACAATTTTTGAGTTGGATGATGACTGAGCAGGTTTATTGATTAAAAACCGTACTGAATCAGCTCAAAAGTTCAGGACACTTATATTTCAGACAGTTCATTGATCACCACGATTTACTAGGGGAGCCATGAGCTGATATCTCTATCCAGGTAAAAATTGAGCTAAGCCGTGAGCCAATCACTGATGTGTTATGTGAAAAGCATGAGCTGATCTGCAGTCCACCAACTTGAGTTGAGTTACTGTGATTAATACATAAACTGCGTAGTAAAGCATCAAGCAATAAACATAAAAACTATGATTTATCTAACGGTGAAAAATTAATCACAAACACAAAGCCATACAAATATAAAGAAAAAAGCAGATAGGATAGTTAAAAAATACTAGTAAGAACCCCTTAACTGCCCAGTCATTAGTTTGTTCACCAATCGTGGTACGAAAAGAAAACACTTTGATTCAATTTAGTAAATTTTATTGAAGTTATATTCCTATTATATATAAAGTTGTATTTTACATGAATGTGGAAAAAATAGCACAAAAACACAAATTATGCGTAAATTCATATTTATGATATATCATAACATAGAGTAATTAATAAACTACCTAAAGACGTTTTTATAAAAGTATCTTCTACACTAAGTAGTGTATTGGAAAAAAATAGTGTTTCCTCTAACAGCTAAAGCCAATAATAAATCTTTAGCTTACTTACGATATTTTTAACAATATAATAGAGAATTATAAATTAACTTTTGTCAAAACCATACATCTTCAGATTATTAAAGATTAGTTATTGGATATGACCTTGTATCCATCCATAAACAATATTAATATACGTAAATGGGCACATTCAAAGCATTCATAAGAAATATATAATAATATAACTCCTACAAAATGTACTTTAAATCTTGCACAAATTTTGTTTTCTATTGCACACAGTTTTACAAATATCCTTAAATAAGTTTTATAAAGTAAATAATCAAATGCAGCTTAGCTTGTATTTTACCTTAGTTAATAACAAAAATCATAGTATATCTTGTGCTTCTTAACAGTGTATCAAGAATTAACAATTGGTTCAATTTTGACAATCAAGTATAGATTTTTATCAAATCAAAATATGGAAAACATAACAAAAAAACAGTATTAGAAACTAAAATTTCACTAACATAACAGTCCATTATTTAAATGCAATACTCTTCATATTAAGATGGGCAGTTAACTGGGCTTTATAGTTAATAAGTCAATTTTGTGATATTATTTAATTCAAACAAATACCCCATATTCCCTTAAATAAATTAATATTTACCCATCAATGACTTTGTCATTTATATCTTGAGTGTCTGAACTCTGACTGCTGCTACTGCCCAGTTTAGTTCTAGTCCCGCCCATCTGCAAGCAGGTATATTTTATTTTCATGAAGCTTTTATCAGATCTACATCTGTACTTTATGAAATGATAGGAATAAATGGACTGTCGACGGAAACATCTATTACAGTTGTGATCAATTATCTCTTCTACTATGGATAACTCATACAAAAATCAAGTATAATAATTTGTAAATACATTTATTGTATGATCATACTAATTATGTGTCTCTACTATCATTACTGATATTACAAGATTGTTATCCCATTCAATATCTAAAAAAAAAAGGAGTTAAGAATAGAGCTCTTACAGATGTGCTGACAATTGAAATTAACAGTAAAGTAGCTTTTGTTACATATTGATTAATATTTTTTATTAAATGTAAATCCCTTTACAATGGGAAATATATCTCTAAACTACTATAGCATAAACCGAACCTTGCGGATAGAGGATTTCGAGTTTTCTGCATCACTCATGCCTTGTTTTACTTTTCTTTTCTTTCCTGATTTTGTATCCTCCTTTGAATGTTTCTTTTTTCTAGACTTGTTCGTTTCTCTTCTTGATAATAGATTCAAATCTTTATCAGAACTTGATTCCGAATAATGTCCCGTTCTATGTTTGTTGTTCTTGTCAGACGTCTCTTCAAGTAGGAAGTCTTTTATTTCTTTTAAAGCATTTTTCAATTGCTCATCCTCCGTATCTGAACTAGAAGAATATGTAAGCAACATTTTCTTAGCACGCATATTATCCATGATACGCTTCCGTTTTGACTTTCGTGGTGAAATTGTTTCATTGCGTTTCCCTTCTTGAGATTTCAAAGGAGAATCTGAATCATTAAGCAATGATGATTTTATTAGTTCCTGTTCTTCATCAAGTGGTTTTGGACTTGTTTCATTGTCTTTTTTTGTTTTCTGTGAACTTGATGAAGCATCAGAATCATTTAATAGTGATGTTTTTAATTGCTCTGCATTATATGTATCATTACAACTATCTTTTTTTGGAGATGATTGGTCACTATCTAATGAATCATTTAATAATGACATTTTTATTTTCTCAGGATCATTACTATGATGTGATGATGTTTTTTCATGACTACTCTCCCTTTTTTGTGGGGTTATTGAATTGCATGAGGAATCATCAAGTAATAATGATTTTATCCTCTCTGGATCATTGGGTTTAGGTGATACGTCTTTATCATTTTTATCTCTATTTTGAGAGGCAAATGAATCATTTGAGGAATCATTTAATAAAGATGATTTAATGATTTCCTGGTCAGCTTCTAGGTTTGGTGATATACAGTTTTTTCTATTTGAGGAACTTTGGGACAGAGGTGATTTTATTTTCTCCGAATCCACACTGGACCTCAATGATATTTTATCCTTGTGATACTTATTTTGGGAGGCAGGTAATTTTTTTATGACATTGTCAGTTGGTGATTTTGGATTGGCTACAGAATCTGTTGTTTTCATAATCGTTGGATCATCATCTGAAGAATTGTTTAATAGTAATGATTTTGCTTGTGATGGTGATTCAGAAGTTTCAAAATTTATCAATATATCTGTATCACATTGAGCTTGAGCATTTTCATTATTTGTTTCATTTTCCACTATTTTCTGTTGTTTTTCAAGGCTTTCATTTGTCTTTTTAGTCTTTGTAGCTGTATTTTCTACATTTTTTATTAATTCTCTGTGAGCACTAAAACTTTTCTCTAGAACATTATTTGTATCTGAATCGCTATCATCAAGTAAGGCTTTTTTCACATGTTCAGTCACTTGTAGCAAATCTCTGTTAATGACATTATCCTCATTGGTATCTGAGTCAAAAGGTTCTGTAGAGTTTACTTGATTTTTATCTAAATTTATTTGATTATTGGTGATTTTCTGGGAATTATTGTCAAACTCTTGAAGTAGAGATTTTGCACTATTACATTCTTCTATTGGCCTTTCTGAGCAACTTTCTATTGCAAAAATAACAGACCTACCTTTGACTATTTTGTTTATTTTATAAGATTTCAAAAATTCTGCAGAAAATTTTGGTAATTTCTCTAAACTTATAGAAAATTCTTTAGGTTTAAATGACTTAACTTCCTTTCTTTTCTGTTCCCTGTATCTTTCTTTAGCTAAATCTTGGTTGTTTGTAGATTTTCTCTTAGGTTTGTTTTTAATTTCCCGTTTTATTTTTTCTATATTTTTCTTTGGGATATGTTTTGAACCACTAACTTCATCATCATCATTTATTATAACACATTCATCTTCCTTTGGAACTTCTAGTAACTTGTTTATGTTAATGCATTTTATAAAAAATTTTGAACTCTTTGCAGATTCTGCTGATGTCTCTTTCTTCTCTTTTTCATTTGTCGCACCATCTGAATCTTTATCTAAATTGGCACTTTTCTCTTTTGTGGATTCATTATTATTACAAGTTACCTCTAATGAATTGTCCAAACACAGTTTTGCTGTGTCTCCATTTGTGTTAACACTTTTGTTGTTTTCTTCAAGCTTTTCTTTCCCTTTCTCATTTTCACTTTCTGAATCACTAAAGGTTTTTATATGTGAAAACTTTCTTTTCTTAGCAGTATTACTTTCTTCGTTCCCATTAGCTGATTCTACATCAGTTCTTTTATTAACTATATCACTATGTTCTTTTTCATCACACATATCTGCGCTTAAGTCAACATTAACAGAAATATTGTTAACAGATTTTGGAGTAGTCTTATTCAATTTGTCTGATTGATTATTTGAATTTTCATTAGTGACTTTAATGCTCTTGAGATCATGAACAACTCGACTTTCACAATTTTGTTCCAAGTCTCTTTCAGGTATAACATTACCATCACATACATTACCAGGTTTAATAGATAAGCTCCCTATGTCATCACTTTCAGAGATATTTGCAGTCGCACTTTTACTACTGTTTTCACTTTTAGTGTTTTTTACATCTTTAGACGATTTTGTCTTTTGAATTTTATTTTTATTTCGTCGTAGTAACTTACAATCAATATAAACTGGGTACTTCTCCAACATGGAAGGTGTCATAGCTTTAGCAACAACTTTAACGGACGTATAGTGGGCTAGCGAAATTTTTTTGCGAATTTTGAGTTGTTCTGAAGCATACTCAAAATATTCATATGGTCCTTTTGAGTCACTTAAACGGCGAGATGATTGAGTGCCGGCGCTTTGTGAAGCAGCAACTTGCGATAAAAGGTGCTTTACACCGGTTTCCACATTTTCGAGAGATTTCTTTGATAACTCACAGATCAATAACACTTTATTGGCGGCTTTTTGGACAGCGTGTGTATTTTTTAAGAGGTTTTTTCTTATTTTCTTCTCTCTCAAATTATCAGTGCGAACCTTTAAATTGGAACCAAGTTTGGATAAATATTCCGTCGCTTCACATAATACATCACAAACAGGCAGCGCGTCCGCCATTTCACGATTATTAGATTTTTCATTTAGCAATTTATACTAAACGGGTCAGACACTTTCCAAAAAAAAGAATTTGAATCTTCAACACTGGATTAAAGTTACGTTTAATAAACAAACACGAAAACGAAATATTCGTCAAAAACTATCGAGAAATAAGAACAATGTTCACAGCACAGACATCAAAATCATTTGGCGCAAAAATAGATTTGTGAAAAACCATAGAATAAAAATGTTTCTTACATATTTTCACAAGAAAAGCGGTAATTATTTTTTTAACAAAACTTTTTGATAATTAAGAGCCATGTAATAAAATAATACATTCTTTACATACAAGTGGTTTTATCCCGCGTTTTACTTGCTAAAAAAAGTTAATAACATGGAATGTCTGCGTGATGAGAAACGTCTGTTTCGCAAACCTTTTCAAATTGGTCGCGTAATACAAAATCGCTATATAGAACCTATATAACAAAATAGCGGCAATAGTATGTATATACATACATACACAGTATTATTATGCTATAATTCATGCATAATTTATTAATTTTAAGAATATAAGCAAATACACAGTTCAAAGCATTTTATACGGATGTTATTACAATTTGTGACAAGCACAACGGTACACTGTAAGAAAATAAAAAATATCAAAGTATCAATTTTTTTGTACTTGCCTTTCATGTAAATGGCTGATGTGTGGTTTTACAGGGTTTGGTGTTAAAAACTGATCTTAACTGTTATTGTTATACATCATCGTAATCTATTGTAGAACTTAAACATTAAAGTAAAGTCATATTATACTATAAGACCGAAAAATCGGCGAATTAAGTAAGGCAGGTAAACTATCCAAAACAGTCGTGAAAAAGTACCATAGACTGCTATAGAGAAAAGCACAGTACCTCAAAATGTCAGAAAAGATAGATGATTAGCATTATAATTTTTTTAAAATACTGTGTATGAGCTAATAACAATTAGTTTAAGTTTTTTCTTCATTGGCCCTATTAAATAAATCAAAAGCCTTTCAATGTACAGGTCGCATTCAATATTATTAAGTGGTTCGAAGCGATTAACATTAGAGAACTGAGTTTAAGCAAATAATTACTTTTTCTTATCTAAGTGCATTCAAACGGGAGTATTAATTTAATTTCAGTTCTAAAACAACATAACATAGAGTACCTGCTTAAAATGTATATGCCAAATAACATTCTCTAAACAAACAAAAAAAACAGTTGACATTATTGACATTGACAGCAAGTGACACTATATAATTTTTCGCTAAGAATAAAGTTGTGTAACGTAAAACGCAACATTAGAATAACTTATTAACCATGATAGCTCGGTTATGTTTGAGAAAGAATTTGAATGGTGTGGTTATACGATATTACAACCAGGGTCCGAGTCAAGGTCTTGGTTCGGGACCGCCGTCTGCATCTACAAGTGAAATTATATCAGATGTGCCTGGACTTAGTGCTGCCGTAATTCTCCCTGCTGCAGAACCAGTGGGCCCTGGAGTTGACCCAAGCAAAAGCGGACCATACAAAGTTCCCGAATACTTTTGCTATGACAATACTAGTTTTTTTGAAGCTGAAATTGAAATGGCTAAGTTCAGACTGCCGCAACCCTCTGCAGTGAAGAAATAAACTATCATTGTTATTTTTTAGTCGGTAGTAAAATATTAAATTATTTGTTGTCTTGATTGTTGAGTTCTTTTTTTTTATGATTTTCAAAGTATATTTCCAATGAGAACTCTATATTTTCTAGTCCCTTAATCATGGCAACAGATGGCCAGTTTTATGCATTCTTGAAACATGTTATCCTTGTTTTATATCTTTACTTTTATAGATTGTTTTTAGACAAATTAAGAATTATCTGACATGCAATGACTGCAGGCATTTGTAAAAGACCATCCTAGTCTTCCCATTATTTTCTTATAAGAATAACATTGGAAAGTTTTGACATCTTTTATATATTATAGATACTTTGGAGTATAACAAGGCTATATTTGGGGGGCAGCAAACATTAATATCTTATTTGAGGTGGTTTTGGGTTTTGGTTATAGTTTTCAGCTATACTTGAACCAAATTTTTAAAACATCATCCATACTTGTGTATGTGTACTGTATACACTGATAATTTGAGATATTTTCTCATGAAAATGACAATTAAGATTAATATTTTAACAATCAAGGTGATAAAGAAAAGACTAATAGCTTTTACTGTTTTATTTGAATAATTTCATCCACATAATGACTAAAAGCCTACAACTAAATAACATAAAATGCAATATCCACCATCTAAATATCTAGTGTTTTCACAATTTAAAAATATTCAAATGCAAATGTTCCATTTCAAATTGCCACTGAAGCCGCACCACTTAGTATAACCACAGTTTCATCATCGGAAAGAGTGGTCACTGGCTTCAGACATCCAGAACCCTCTTCCTCAGCCTCATGTTACTTCTTTTTAGTCAATTTTTCCGATAAGTCATCAAAGGTAGGATCTTGTAAGTTAATCATAAGGCTGTTGCCAGGAAGGAATACACGGTTTTGTGATTGAGCTATCATTCTAGAAATGCTTTGGGCTGCACGGATTTTGCGCAACTTGAGATAACCTGGATTCATGCCCATGGCTTTACCCAACATTTCTGCAGCTTCGGCTTCACCCTCTGCCTGCACAATTTTCTGTTGACGCTCCTGCTTAGCTCTTTCAACCACGAAAGCAGCACGCTGAGCTTCTTGTTGCGCTACTTGTTTAGCTTCAACTGCAGCTGTGTACTCCTTACCAAAACTCAATTCAGTTAATGAAACATCATCCAATATGATGTTGAAGTCAGCTGCACGCTCCACCAACTCGCGCCTTATCAACAAAGAAACTTGTTGACGTTGAGTGATTAGCTGAGATGCATTAAATTTGGCAACAACAGATTTTAGAACTTCATTGCAAATTGAAGGCAGCACTTTCTCGTCGTAGTCAGTTCCTAGTTGGCGGTACATAATAGGCAAGTGACGTGCATCTGGTCGTGATAACACCCTAAGAGAGATGTTCACCATTTGCAAATCCTTCGAACCAGTAGGAGACGATATTTTTCTAGGACGTGATCTAATATCGTAAATTATAGGATACTGGAACCACGGTACACGGAAATGCAGCCCTTCAGTCATAACGTGTTGTTGTACACCACCGATTCTATTGAACATTATGGCTCGGTGTCCACCTTCCACGGTAAATACTGATTGAGAAATACCGTATGCTGCGGCGCCGACTACTGCTACGACTTTCAGCCCAATACCAAGTCCGGGAGGTCCACCTTTAGCAAATTTGCCTGCCATATCGTTAAGTTTACTTTGAGCCATTTTCAGAGTCCTTGATATCCTGTTGAATAGATATGAATTCACAATTTCAATGATATAACCTAATACTATTACAGAATTGTGCAACAAGGTTGGTTCGGCAACAAGATGGCAGAGCAAAATGAAGCACAGATCACGAAGATAAAACTAGAAAATATTATTTATGGTCATTAGATTAAGCACAGATTAAATATACAAAGCTGTATTCAGCAATATAGGACTGGCTTGAGACTGGCAATATTACCGCAAGTGATTCCAAACATATTAACATAATTCACGAATAGCTTGATTAATCTGTAATTAACTGTAGTCAACAAAAAACGTAGGGTTATTGGTTAGGACTCCATGATAAGTGGCACGTACTCAGTATTATTTAAAATAAAGTTTTCTCATTGAGTATCGATATTTCCTTGATTTTAAAATCGTACATTACTGTGGTTTTAATGATTACCACAGATAACAAACAGCTGAATTCCTGAGTTGACAATTTGAGTTTGACATATTAAAATTCAGCGAAGAAAGAAGAAAGCATAATGTCTGTTTTCATTAAATAAAAACATTCATTAAAAATCTAGATGATTTCTGATTACAATCAATATCTTCATCAAATACAGATATAATTTGTTACAATCATATTGGGTGTAATATAAAAAAGAAGGATGGATTCGTGCATGGGTGTAGAACAGGATTTAGACAAAGCCACATCAAAATTTAATACTTTAAATGAGCATACTAATAAGGTATTAGAAGACATCATCAGCCAAGTTGAAGATTTAAAAAACGAAATATCTAAACGTAAGTATTTCTACTATAAGTGGAATACACTAATGAAAATAATATTTGTGACTAAAGTAACCAATACAACATACTGGATGTTTTAATTAACTTATCTTTTGTATTCAATAGTATTGCTATATTGTAAAGTTTTAACAGTTACATGCAGTTGTGCATAGTATGTTAACTTTTTATAAATTAGTAAGAAATAATAAAATGACAGTTTAAAATGGTCAAACCAATTTTACTACAAGAGGGCCCAACTTGTAATAGACGTTTTACATAGCTTTCAAAAAATCATTTTTTAAAGTTAGACAAACTAAGATAGTTCATGATCTGTGGCATACATTAATTATAATTTAATATCATTCAGGAAGATAATTCTTTGATTCTTATCACACTAATGCAGGGTTAGCGCTTAAAGATTTATAAACCTTAATGTTGTATCTTAATTTTTACTGTCGGCTGCCTTCTTGTTGCCAACCCTACATTACTGTTTGAATGGACTGTATTTTCTTGGCTGAAGTGAAATAAGACTGTATTGCTGCCAAACTGTTTCTTGTACAACAAAATGAAAAAAGTATGTAAAGGTATGTGTCGCTGAGATGTCGTTCTCAGCGCAACTAATTGCAGCGCGGTGTGAGGGTGCGCGGGGGACGGACGAGGTGCGAAGGGTTCCCCTCCACGTGGCTTCCCCGTTGCAGTGCAGTAGCACTGAACAATTACACAACCCGTTTTACACCTATTATATTTCAATAATAATTTCCCTTTATTAAAACAATACCACTGGATTTGTTTATCAAGTTTTGTTATGTTATATAAATATTTATTATCTCTCTGTACAATAAACTTATAAATGAACAATATTGATTGTTAAATGTAGTTGAAAATACAAGCCATTTATATAGTTCATTGACTGAAAAGTTATTGTAAATATGTTTTGTAATTATTATCTATACTTCGTCCTGCTTGTTTCAGTAGGTTCCAAACATATTTCTGATATACATAGTGATGTGATATAGTACTAGCTTATGTCCATGACTTTGCATGGAATATAAAAAAAATATCGATTCCAGATATTATTGTTTGTATCAGGTTTTATCAACACAATAAATGTCCATTAAGCCATAAGAGAAACATTGGAGTTTAGGAATTTACCTTCTAATAAACAGGCATCCATCTACACTCTTTCATTTATAAAATTATAAGTAAGATTAGTACTAAATAAAAAAAACATAATTTCAGAGCCTCCAGACAGTCCCCTGACGCAAGCACAGACAAAGATCCTAAGTGATTTGGCAGCTAATGTGAAACAAACTGTATTTCAGATGTCAACAGGTAAGGTTTAGCAGTTAAGTACTCTTTTTTTACTTCTTTATTTAATGTAATATTACTAGCTGTCACTTGCGATTTCGTTCATTTGAAATCAAAAAAGTAGTACAAAATACAGCCTATGTTATACAGCAATAACATAGATTTCTAATGGTGAAAGAATTTTTGGAATTTGGCCCAGTTATTTTTGAGTTATTTCAATACATACAAGAATCCATATCTTTCCTCTTTATCTATATGTACTACTGTTGTAAAGAGGAAAGATTTGGTTTTTGTATGTATTGAAATAACTAAACTATTGGGCAAGTTTCAATTTTTTTTCATATTTAAAAAGCTATGTTATCACTGAGCAACATAGGCTATATTTGTATTATTTTTTTTAATTTCTGGTGGACGAAGTCGCTACCAAATGCTAGTAGTTAATAAAGAAAGATTAAATCAAGTTTGATTCACAATAACTAGCTTTCCATCGCGACTCTGTCCGCGCGGAATTAAAAAAAAACAAATGCAAGTAGCCTATGTGTTCTTACAGACTATCTTCTACATTTATGCCAAATTTTAACACAATCCGTTCAGCCGTTTAGGCTACAAACTCTAACATCTATCCATCCATCCATCTAAGCTTTCGTATTTATAATATTAGTGTTTATTTACAGAACACCGTGAATTGCATGCAACAGTTTCTCGTGTGGGCAAGTCAATTGACCGACACTTTATTGTGGACTATGCCTCCGTTGCTCCGAAAGCGGAGTCATTCTCCTCTGAAACAAACAAGCCCATAATGGAGCAAGCAATCGCTCAGCATTTGTATAGACAGGTAAGATTTATAAATGTACATTCTATATGCAGAATGAAAGAAATCATAAATAATGTTATAAAAATGTTGCATAAATTGTAATCTCCAAATAAGTGTATTTTATATAAATGATTGTAAGATACGGGTTTCTTACCACGATTAGCTTGTTTTAGCTCCCGATATTCCGGTTTCTTGTGGCCGCGTTTGCTACTGTATAACATAAAAAAAAATCTCGAGGGCTTACTCAGGAGCCTCGGTTCGGGCCGTTACTTCGTTTTTATAACTGGATTGGTACAAAATCAAATGATTTAATAATATGACGCTAGTGTGTGC